GATCCGTGCTTTTCGTGCTCATCGTTGATACGTGCTTTTCATGCTCATCATCGATCCGTTCGTGCCATCGTGGATACGTGCTTTTCATGCTCATCAGATGTGTATAAGAGACAGGAGAGAGAGAGAGAGAGAGAGAGAGAGAGAGACGATAACTCTCCGACCTCGTGGCTCGCGCCATGCTACTTCCATCGATGCGCTGCCGGTACACCCCCCCCTCCTGAAAAGACGTCCCGATGCATCCGGAAACGTCAAAACACCACACCCCCCTACTCCGAACCGACGTCCCGATGCCAACACCACACCGCTGCCGGTACACCCCCCCCCCTGAAAAGACGTCCCGCTGCGTCCCGGGACAATCATGCTCGTACACACCCCCCCCCTGAAAAGCCGTCCCACTGCGTCCCGGGACGATCATGCCAGCAGAGGGACCGTCAACCGCCTTCTCTCCGAAATGAAAAAGAACATGACTTCTACTTGTACTGAATGAGCTCCTCCATTACAAAAAAGAAGGGGAAGAAAAAAAAGCAGCACAATTGTGCTGCGTCCACATGCGGAAAAAAGAAAAAGGGAAAAGAAAAAGTTGAAAAACTGAAGAAGTGTGTCAAAAACAGTCTGTGAAATCCTACCTTCTTCCCCCGAATACAATCTACGGTCATTATAGCTGTATTTAGACTGAAAGATACTCCAAATACAGCTATAATGACCATACGTTGTATTCGGTGGAAGAAGGCAGCTCCCTGCAGAGTTACCGGAAGGTCAATGTCATCCGCATGTGGCAGAGGAGGGAAGGATTGGGGACGGGGAAGTTTTTGGGCATAGAGCGAGAGAGAGAGAGCGGGGGAGGGGGGGGGGGGACAGGAGATGGAAAGGAGTGGCACAATGGAGGTGGGGGGGAGGAACAATGAGGAGGGGAAGAGGGAAATAGAGCGAGGGAACGAGGTAAGGGAGATGGGAAGAGAGGGGTAGGGGGGGGCAGAGTGGGGTAGGAAGATCCTAGAGATGCACCCAGAGGGAAAG